GTTTCGCCAACTCCCGTTCTAACTGCAGCTCCCTCGCTTATTTTCCCCTCGTCCTCTCTCCCTTGCTGTAACATCTAGCTTCGGTATGACCCTTCTTCCCACATCCCGTGCAGGTCGGCGCCTTGGGGCAGTCGCGCCTGAAATGGCCCTTTGCTCCGCAGGTGTCGCATATAATCCCCACTGTACAGTCCCTTCGAAGATGTCCTTGCTTCCCGCATTTATGGCAGCGTCTTGAATCTTCTGACGGCCTTTCCTTCCGCTCTTCCTCTCCCCTTCTGCCTTCCACCGCTGCCCAGGCAGGTCGCCTTCGCTCGTTCGGCCGGCTCGAACTCGACCCCTGCATGCCATCATAGAATCTCTTCCCTTCCTCCACTTCCTTTGCCACTTTGTACACTTGCCGCAGCGACGCTCGTACTCCCAGGGCGTATAGTTGGCTCCTCATATCACTTAGCAGGTCCTTGTCCAGCCCATTGACAAACTTAGTCACCAAGAGGCGTTCCTCCATACACCCCATATCCTCCGCCAACTCCAGTAGTCTATTGTAATAGGCTAGCAGTGACTCCGAAGTAGCGCGCATGAAGTTATGAAACTCTGTCATCCGCTCCGCTGAGTGCCCCAGGAATTGCTCTTGCAAGCTCTCCAAGAATCGGTCCGTAATCGCCGCAGGTAAGAAATCTCCTCTCTTGCATTGCATCAACAGCCCCTGCCTTTCCACACGGTAATGAGTCAATGCCTCGCCCTTAAGGGTCCTTCCCAAGCCTCTGAAGAATTCGATGGGGTCCAATCTTTCCCTCTCCCAGAGGTACCGCAGGTCGTCTATCATCATCAAATAGTTCTTGAGCGTGGGTTCCTCCCCTGGCGTCCCCGAGAAACGGTCCGGCACCTCAATCTTTGGTAGAGCTGCGCTCATCGTGCGGCCTGTTCCCCAGCTTGTGGTCCCTCTGTCTCCGCTTTCCGCAGGCCGACCACCTCTCCCAGCCTCCATAGCTTCATATCCTCCCGCCGAGAAGCCGTGGTACGCCTCTTCCCCTCTCTGACTGCGTCTTTCTTCGTGATGCTCATCCTCCCCGCGCTGACTGCGACGCTCTTCTCGATACTCTTCCCCTCCCTGAGCAGGAGTACCTCCTCGAGATCCACTCCCCACAGGGCGGATTCCACTCCCACCAGCGGGTGAATCACAAGCAGATCTGGGCGGCTGCTCTCCCTGCCTGCCGCCGTCCTTCTCTCGATCTGATCTTTGGCTCCCGCGAGCATTAGCGTCGCCTTCCTCGGCCCGAAATCCAGGCGTCCTGATCGGCAGACCTTGTCCCTCCATCGTCCTTGCTGGGAAACGAAGTCCCGAGCGCAGTTGATGAGTGTGAAGTTCTTGATCGTGCCTACTCATTCCTCACGGCGCATCACCGTGAGCGACTCCAGGAAACTAAGCTGATCACCTGTACTTTAGACAGTCAGCAACCTTTTTGCTTGTATGTAGCAAGCATATCACTCCCCCTCAAGGGGCTCTGTCAAAATGCTTATAGCTCCTCGAACTGCTAGTTCCCTCTGGATTAGGAAAGCTTAATTGCAGTAAAAGAGAAACATACAAGCAAAAAGCAAGAAGCCCGAGTGCTACTCCTGCCTACATCTATTCCCACGTCCTGCCTAGGTTGCTTCCTCCACAAGCAAGCTCCTGTGCACCAAGCGAGTCAGCCGAGCTGCTCGCGAGGTCTCCAAGGTGCTAGCTGGGTTCCCACTGGGCCCACTAGGCATGCACCGCCTTCCAGCCTGGTGACTTCGAATTGAATTCCCAGGCTGGCATTGAATTCGCCTTCCAGCCTGGTGACTTCGAAATTGAATTCACAGGCTGGAATTGAATTCACCTCCACCAACCACCTTGAATTCGCCTCCCACTAACCACCTCGAATTCCCCAGCTACTCGGCTCTGCAGTACAGTACGATACACTCCAAGCACACAAATGAAATTAGAGTACAAAAGCGATAAACTATAGTACACACACCCTCACCTTGGCAACTGTAGAATTCACACTTAGTTGCCAGCTAAGTGTTAATAACGCGACAGCGCATTTGCGCGAGTGTGGCCGACGCGGAGAGTGGAGGCGGGTGGTGGTTGAAGCAGCTTGGGGAGCGCGAAGGGACGGTTGGCAACGTGTAATGGCAGCGGGGGGAGGAGCGTGGAGGGCGGGCGGGAACATGCGTGGTACTGCGAGGCGGAGCGGAAGGTGGTTGCGGGGGAGCGCGGTGGCGGGGTTGAAGCAAGGATTTGCGATGGTGGCGCGGGGTGGACGTCCTCCCACTACAAGCTCCGTCGGTAGACGCTCGGTGTTGCTCCCTGGGCAAGGGGGGTGGGAGAAGGGATGGGCTCAAAGGGGATGGGTGCAAGGGATGGCTTGTACCCCCCCCCTCACCTAATCGACACTTGTCCTCTCTACTCCAGTCACCTAGTCTAGACTAGATCTTGATACTCTGTGCCCTCACTACCTCCCTTATTCACACCCCCAATACTCTCGCCTCCCATACTCACACCCCCCAGACTCTCACCCCCCAGACTCTCACCTCCCATACTCACACCCCTCATACTCTCACCTCCCATACTCACCCTCCCCCATACTCTCACTCTCATACTCGCCCTTCCGCTGCTCACCCTACCTCAATGTGCTTGTCTGCATACTGCCATAACGCGTTGGCTGGCATGCGTTGGTTGACTCATACTCACACCTCCCGTTGCCACCACTGTCATCCCTGTCTTCTCACCACCGCCTCGCCCCAGCGTGCACTGGTGGGGGATGGTCCCTAGGCCTTGAAAGAGAGGCAAGTAAAAGGAAAGGGAAGGTGTACCGAGATGGCAGCAGCAGTGGCATGAATGAGTTGGCTGGCCCATGCTGTCTGATTTAGCAAGAATGCATCCAAGTGCCGCCACCCGCCATCGCCCACCCCCCCTTGCACCCACCCCCCTTTCCGCGCACCCCCCTTGCACCTATCCCCTTTGAGCCCATCCCTTCTCCCACCCCCCTTGCCCATGGAGCAACACCGAGTGTCTACCGACGAAGCTTGTAGCGGGAGGGCGTCCACCCCGTGCCACCATCGCAAATCCTCGCTTCAACCCCGCCACCGCGCTCCCCTGCAACCACCTTCCGCTCCGCCTCGCAGTACCACACATGTTCCCGCCCGCCCCTCCACGCTCCTCCACCCGCTGCCATTGCACGTTGCCAGCCGTCATGTCGCGCTCCCCAAGCTGCTTCAACCACCACCGGCCTCCACTCTCTGCGTCCGCTGCGCTCGCGCAAACGCGCGCTTCTGGCGACGTCATGCGAAGGCGGATGCGAGGAGCGGCACGGAGAAGATAACAATTAGAAGATGACAATGAGAAGATAACAATGAGAAGATGACAATGAGAAGATGACAATGAGAAGATGACAATGAGAAGATGACAATGAGAAGATGGCAATGAGAGGATGACAATGAGAGGATGACAATGAGAAGATGATAATGGGGTGATGTCAATATGTTATTGGCAATGAGAACGTGGCAACGGAAACATTATAATGGGATAATTCAATCTGAGAGTAACATTAAGAACATGACAAAGGTAAAAGGTGGCCAGAGTGGACTTAAGTCTTTTCAAAGCATGGGTGGGGAACGGTGAGCATGGTGTGGGTGGCGAATGCAGAGCGGATGGCGAGGTGGGTGGAAAGGCCAAGGATGAGCGATGGGCCAATGCGCAGGCGGAATGGCTGAGAGGGTGCGGGCCTGGCCCCCATGGTGCCACGTGTGCATGACAGGCAGGCATGGCGGACACGCAATGGAAAGGCAGGGGGAGGAGGGAAATGACAAAGAAAAAATGGGCAATGAAAAATGGCAATGGGGAAAGGTAGAAAAATGGCAGCGAGTGAGAAATAGACTTGCAACTCACAATGGCAAGCTGATTGGACAGAATGGAATAGGAACTTAGCAAATGAGAAAGTTGCAGTGGGAACTTCGCAAATGACAAAGAGGAAAGTGAAATTGGCGGGACAAATGAAACGACCCAGCAAACAACAATAGAAGATGAGTGAAAGAAGGCATTGGAAGTTGAATGAAACCGGTCATGGGACGCTGGCAGGGTTGAAGTGGACAAGAAAAATAGCGATATGTAGCTGACTAGTACAAATTGCAAAAACATGAGAAGAATTGACTTCACATAATCGAAGATGGCGGAACGAATGAAAGTACGAGCAATGGAAACTGACAATAAGCAGTTACCAAGAAATGATACGCTAGAACCATTGTAGTGACAAGTTGATTGGAAACATGAAAATGCATTGAACAGAATGGGATCATGAGGATAGGACAACGACAAGAGAGTGCTAGCAGGAGAACGAGAGGTGGGAATGAAAGAGAGATGACTGTGGCAAAATGGCTATGATCAACAAGGAATGTGCAGGCAACTAGCATGATCTGCCATGTTAGAATGCATACCTAACAGAAATGCCAGAATGAATGGCGGAAGAAAATGTTGCAATGGATGGGGGAATAATGGAGGAGAGAGGAATCAAGTTTTCTTGCAGTAGCTCACATGCAAGGGGAAGAAGGGTGGATCATAATAAATGGTTGGGGAAAGGACAGTGGGGAATCTGGCAGTGAGTAACCTGGCAGTGAGTAACCTGGCAGGGAGTAACCTGTCAGTGGGGAAACTGACAGGGACAAAAGCGGCAATGGGAATTTGACAGTGGGAAGGGTGGCAATGGGAAAATAATGGTGGAAAAATGGTTGATGATGAGCATTGGGCAATATTGACAACATGAGAGGGGGGAAGAATGGCAAGAGGACAAAAACAACAACAATGAGCCATATTCCAACCTTTCCACACTCCCATCCTCCAGCTTCACTCCTCCAACGCCAGCCAGTACAAGGGAGTGAAGCCACACCTGATTTTTGCAATATATAGTTACAAAATGCTAAGAACAGAATGACTAAACTAGCAAACCTAGCTACTGCTAAGACCATGAACTCTATTCACATGCTCAGTCACCAGCCTCCCCACAGGCCGCCCTCCAGCTGACCACATTCCTCCACCTCTCCCACAACACCCTGCAAGCAGGGTGCAAAAAAGGGTAAATCCCACCATGTGCCTGCCACCGGCCCCCACCAACCATGCTCATCGCACCAGCCATGCTCATCCCACCCGCACCACGCCTCCCCCTACATACCATTGGAAAGACTCTGGATCTGTTACCATATACAACTGCTAATGCTACTAATTCTGCTACTTCATCACCGTTCTCTGCTTCCCTTGGGTGCCTTGCTGTGTGGCTTGGGAATGCCACTAGGTGCAGCGGGGCGTGGCTTGGGAATGCGAGTGGCCGCCATTGCTGCTGGAGCAGCCGGGTTGCGAGTGCTGTGTGGCGCGCCTGCTGCTCGTCCTCCTGCTGCCTTCACCCCTCCCAACGTAGCCTTTCCTGTTGTTGCACGCACCGCCGTGTGTGCTGCCCTCCCATTGCTCTGCTCCCTTACCTTCTCTCCTGCTGCCTTTGTTGGTACCGACCCCACTGGACTGCTCTTTGCAGCAACACTCTTAGCAGTTGCTGGCGTTAGACATGTGGCCTTGGTTGGCGTTGCTTTAGCTGCGGCAGCTGCAGGCTTAACGATCTTCACTGCAGCGCTCTTCACAGCACCTGCCGGCGTCACACGTGTGGCCTTGCCTGCCGCTCTTTTAGCCGCTATAGCTGCAGGCTTAAAAGCAACGCTTCTTACAGCAGCAGCCTTGGCTGGTGCAGCTGCAGATACATGCATTCCCTTCCTGCTGAAACCGCGGGCTTTCACAGCAAGGGTCTTCACAGAAACAATCTCCACACCAGTAGGGCGCATGACAGCAGCGCTCTTCACAGCGAGGGTCTTCACAGCGGCGGTCTTCACAGCGACGGTCTTCACGTTGGCAGCAGCGGTGGTGAAAGCAGCGCATACACCCATGACGTTGCTGGGCGTGGGCGTGTGGCTGCACGGCTGACTCACAAGCGTGTTGCTGCGCGGGTGACTCGCGGGCTTGGTGGGTTGCAGTGGGGAGAAGCCCAACGATGCACGGGGGGAGCGCGCAGTGCTGTTCTCGTCCGCGTTCAACCGCCCCACGCACACCGCAACGGCGTGCAGCCGCTACTGCCGCCTCTTGCTCATGCACGCCTCTGCGCTGTTGCCACGCTTGGAGCTGCTGCTGCCGGCGCTGCGGCTGCTGATGCTACTGCTGCCGCTGGTGCTGTAAATAATTCTGCTGTTGTCGTCGCTGTTGCTGCAGCTGGTGATGATGCTTCTAGCGCTGCTGCGGCTGCTGGTGCTGGTCGCAGTGCTGCTGGCAGCAGCGACAGCTCCAAGCGTCAGAGTTAAAACGGGCTCGCAGAAACCAACGCCCGGGACGTACAGCCACGTCTGCTCCTCTTCGCTGTAGTCCTCCAAGAAGGCTTGATTGATGGATGTATCTGAAGGCGCCGGGAAGTCCAGCGAGCCACACAGCCACGTGCAGTCTTCCTCGCTAAAATCCTTCCAGAACTCGTAATCTAGGCCCAAGGAAGTCAGGGGCGCGCAGAGCCACGTGCATTCTTCCTCGCTGAAGTCCTTCCATAACTCGTGGTCGATCTAGGGACTTGTATATTGGGGCGTTCCGCGAGGCCATCGTACGAGCAGGAATTCAAGAAACCAGGACTCGAGAAGCGGAAGTTGATACTAAGTGATAGTTGTCACCAGGAAGTAAGAACTAGAACGGGTGTTGGGGTATGGCTGAGAATGACGAGAGGCTTCGAACTGTAGTGTTGGGAAGGCACGGCAGGCAAGGCACGGCACGGCAGCCCCAAGGCGAAAGGGTGGATGGAGCAGTCGCCAACGGCGGGTAGGGGAGAGGAAGCAAGAAAATTCACTCCGTATAGCGCGTGCTGTGGTTTGTGGTTGGAGCCGAACCTACAGCGAGGTTGGGCAGCCAATGACATGCTGGTCGAAGGTTTTGCTCCTAGCGCGACCTCGGGCTTTGCCGCTGCTGAACACCAAGCCAAGTCGTCGAACCAGCCGGAATTTGGGCAGCGAAATCTCAGCGTTTTTAGCTGCCCAAACTCGGTTCGGGTCGTCCTTCCGTCAAGCTCGCCGGTCCTTCATCTACAGAAGCACGACAACCCTCCCAGTTGACTAAATGTGGGGCTCCTATGGGTGTACTCTATGACCGAAGGTATGCTCGAGGCTGCCATGGCTCTGATTTTGTTCAGTCAATGTCAACGAACAGGCAAAACAATCGATCCAACAATTGGCGGACGCGATCGAGACGGATCCCGATCGGATCGCACTATGACCTGGCGCGTAACATTTGACGAATCACTGTGTTTGCCCAGCGATTGAACGGTCTTCAGCAGCTTAGGGCGGATTCCTGACTTCGTGTCATCCGCTATTTGTGTCATCCGAAGTTGTGTTATCCAATCGGAAAACCCAAACTCGAGATTCGGGTTTTTCGATAGGGTCCCACAATTTCGGATGACACAAAGAGCGGATGACACGAAGTCAGGAATCCGCCCTTAGAAGATCTTTGAGTCCTCATGAAAGCATGCTCAAGGAACTAGGGTTCCTCTGCCACGAGGCTTGTCCGGCCAGCTCCCAAGGTTGGGATGAGGAGAAGAAAGACGAATGCTTCTATGTGCAGATCCGTTATAATATTCTCAAAATAACCGTTTAGGATTTGTGATATGAACAAGGATAGATACTTCATACCATCAGTCCAGGAAGGTTATCCTTTTATCCAAGTCAAACTGAAAATGGCATCCTTTCAAATTAAAAATGTCTGTAAAACTCATTGTTGTTGAGAAACTCACAATGCGAGGTGCAAGTTGTTGTGAGTAACGTATATTGTGTTTGTTGAGCCATTGGAATATAGAATTTACAAGCATATAAAGACTTCATGCAATTTCTTCTCTGTACCTACCACCACAACACACCACAGCACCTAAAACGATCCAGGGTAGCTTCTGCAGGAGGTCCGGGGGATACAGTACACTACAGTATCATTGCAGCAGTTTTGTGCAAAAACTACGTCAATCAGAATTCTCTATGCAAATTTAGCCTTGGGCTTTCTGTGCTGCTTCTGTTGCTGCTGCTGCTGCTGCTGCTGGAGCGCCTAGGCCATGACGTCAGCAGCATCAGCAGTGGCAGCAGCCCCCGCACACTCATTCATCTTCTCCCTCCTTGCTCCATCCACTGCGCATGGGGGGAAGAAAAGGGGGTGGGGAGGGGAAAGGGGGGGAATAAGACGGTTCACAGGCAGAAGCTATTGAAATGCACTTCGTACAAGTGGAAAACGGCTATTCATTACAATGCTTTAACATGAAGATCATCAAGAAGTGTACAAAGATGATGGAGGGGGATTGTGGAGGGCAAGGGCAAGGGCAGGGGACACGGGAATAACCAAGCAGCACGAAAAAGCAGAGCCTTGTGCTTGTCACAACTCAAGACATCTCGCAACATAAGTTAACCCATGTAAGAAATCGCCGACTATCATGGGGTTTTACCAAGCAGCGAGGTGACAGCAGAGAGGAGAGTGTCTGGGGAGAGCTGGTCCTGAGGCAGCATCACAGCCGCCCCTGCTTGCACCATGGCTCGTGCATTCACGGTTTGATGGTCCTCCGCCACATGAGGTGATGGGATCTGTGCATGGAATAAGATGTAAGGTGACACAGTGACGAGGGGCAAGGAAAGATTCTGCCTTCATTTACATGCACTCACACACACGCGTGCATGAGTGCGACTGTGAGCACCAATATGCACGGTGCGGCAATTTCCGTGGCGCCTCAAAAAGTTGTGCGAGTGCGAGCGTGAGTGCGAGTGTGGATGCGAGTGTGAGTGCGAGTGCAACTGTGAGTATCATAATGCAGGGCATGGCAGTGACGAGCAGTTCAGCGCACGTGACGGCATCGGCACGTGCCACCACCACATCCGCTGCTGCATATGCCAAGTCCATGCGCTCCTCAAACCTGCCTCCGTGCACCGCACCATGGGGTATTGTGCACCATGGGGTATCGTGTTATAGAAGCGGCATGGGTGGGGTTGGTGGGGGAAAGGAGGGGTGTGATGGGACGGAGGGAAAGCAGGCGGGGCTCGTGCCACCCACATCTGCTGCTGCATATGCCAAATCCATGCGATCCTCAAACCTGCCTCTGTGCACTATGGGGTATCGTGCACCATGGGGTATCGTGCACCATGGCACAAACCTGCCACGACCCACCATGGGGTACGGTGTTGAAGAAAGGTCATGGGGACGGTGGGGGAAAGGAGGGGGCGCGTGGAAAGAGGGGGGTGAGGGAACGGAGGGGAATGTCAGAGGGTGAAGACTTGGGAACGGAGGGATTGAGAGGCATTCGGAAGCAGATGCAAGAGAGAGGAGAAAATGGGGTTGTGGAGCAAGACATGTTTGAAAAGAGACTGCATAGCATGAAAGAGGCTTCTTAGAAATCTCTCGCCTGAAATGGGGCCATGGTTGGAGCGAGCGAGGGACGCGGGAGAAGAGAGAGAGGGACGTGGGAGAAGAGAGAGAGGGACGTTGGAGAAGAGAGAGAGGGACGCGGGAGAAGAGAGAGAGGGACGTTGGAGAAGAGAGAGAGGGACGTGGGAGAAGAGAGAGATTGACGCGGGAGAAGAGAGAGATTGACGCGGGAGAAGAGAGACATTGACGTGGGAGAAGAGAGAGATTGACGCGGGAGAAGAGAGAGAGGGACGTTGGAGAAGAGAGAGAGGGACGCGGGAGAAGAGAGAGAGGGACACGGGAGAAGAGAGAGAGGGACGCGGGAGAAGAGAGAGAGGGAGGCAGGAGAAGAGACCTCACGGCAAGAGGGAGACGCGGGGATGTGCGGCGATGGGAAGAGCTCTCATCTCCTCCACATGCCGTGCTCCCGCCTGCTATATCACCACCACCTCCCCCCGCCCGCCCCTCTCTCCCCCCTCCCCACCATTTTGCACACCGTCCAGCCTCTCAGCACCACACTCCATACCGCCGGACCCATCTAGCACCCGCTGCCGCGCGCCTGCCACGGCTGTGTTGATGGGTTGTGCTCCCAGCGAGCCCCCCAACACCAGCACCACCTCTGCTCTTTGCCCCGCGCTTCCTACTACTCCTCCTTCTGCTACAGCAGCATCGTCAGCTGCGACACGTGGGAAGAAGTAATTAATCGCTGCTTCCCGCTTTTCTTCCAACATTTCCCTCGCAGATCGCAGCACCGCACGCGTGGGGTTCCCTACCACGTGGCAGCGCCTGGTTGGAAAGAACCTTTGGGCGACGGCGAAGGCGACGAAAACGACGCTCGCGAAGCGGCCAAGCAGGCGGTTGGCGATCCCCGCGAATGCGTTCTGCTCTTGTAACACGAGAGGTATGCGACAGATCGCGGCTGCTAGGCAAGTCGGCGCGGACACGTACCCTCCTGTGCCTACTACCACATTGGGCCTTAATCGCCAGATTAAGAGCAGGCAGAGGCAGAACGCGCGGAGGAAACGAAACGGTACGAGGAGGTTGGAGAGGGTAGTGAGGAGCGGCCGACGGATACTGACGGCTGGGATTGGATGGATCCGGTAGCCTGCACGCGGGACAGCCGTCCATTCCCTTCGCTCCCTGGTTCCGATAAAGTTGATCTCGGCCGTTGGTTCGCGGAATCTAACGGCGTCTGCGATGGCAATGGCAGGGTACACGTGGCCGCCCGTGCCGCCGGCGGCAAAGAGGATCGAGATCTGACGGGGTGAGTATGATGTGTCGGGTGGTGCTACAAGCGAGGGCGATCCTCCTGCAGAGCATGTGACTGTAACGGAGGAACGCCCCCTGCTACCACCGCTGGTAATGTCAAACCGCCAAGACTCCCTTGAACTAGTGCGAGCATCTTCCCCGCTAAGAGCACCTCTTTCACCCAGTTTGAAGCCCCTGCTTTTTAGCCAGTTATTAGCAGCAGTAGGGTCAATCATTCCAATTATTCCGCTGCCCGTGACTTTTCGGAATGCCAAAGATCCCCCGCTTATCCACGCTACCTGCCCCACTCGCCCGCCACCGCGCACCTTCTTGCCTTCCCAGCACCCGCCTCCGCTCACCCCAGCGTCCAATTTCTGCAGCAGCGTAGCGCGCGGAACGGCGGAAGCGTCCACGCAGGCGACGACGGAAGCGGAAGCAGCGGCTGGCGCGGGCAAAAGCGCGCGCCCGTTCGCGAATGCGGTTGCGGTGCTTCCGTCGTGAGTGGGATTTGCGGTAGCGGGGAGGAGGAGCGAGGCTCGAATCATGGCTTCCTTTCACCGGGGAGCCCTACGGACGGGAGCATCGACTCCGACTGGTCCGCAGCCACGTTGTAGATTCCTATTGGCATCACAGAGTGTAGTATGGCCTCGATTTTCACTTCGGGTTTGACACCAACAGTACACCTAGCCCGCGCTAATTTCAAAAGGGGGGAGCCGAGGCGCCCCCTTTGTCGTTTTACCAGGTGGTTGAAATTGGGGGGAGCAAAAACCTTCCCCCCAATTTCAACATTGGCGTGTGGATTTCGAGGTTGCTGCGTCATCCTTGACATGGCGCGGTGCTGACGTGCCCAATGTGCTGTGTGATTCCGAGGCCCTGAGACTGGGCATAAAATAAACAAGAAACTAGTGCTGGATCACACCGAATTGAATCACCAAGTCGAAACTAGGCTCAAAATGGCAAAAACAATGTAGGGCTAGAATCACGCTTCAAGTACAAACAGCATGAACTAAGTTTAAATGTCATGCATGTTATTCGGTTCTTAGGCATTCAGACCTGGCTGTGGATTGAAATGCGCCGTTAGTACTTCGCCACATCATTCTCTTCCCCCTCTTGAGTTGGATTTCAAACATGAACCTACGCATAATTTTCGCGTCTTGTAGTCTGTCCCTCCAAAAAGTTAGGAATGTTGCTGACGCGTCAGTGCATCCACAGGGTTGACTCTGCCAACCTACTGTTCATTGTTGGGCTCGAGCAGTCACTACCTGCCCAGAGGTGGCGACAAACCTTTTGCAATTGGGGGGATTGAAAATGGCGCGGGCTAGGTGTACAGTACCGTCAGCCCCCGGATAGAAGCGCCCATGGGGATATAAAAAAACAATGTTTTTTAGAGGGTGCTCTTATAATCGAGGAATTTTATAAGCGCCGCGTTTATAAAATGGCAAAAATATTTTATATTTGTTTTACACCAAACTATATATCTCGTTCTGCTGATTGTAATCGAGTCGACAGCATATAGGGTCGCGAGTCTGATTCTCGCGCACCTTGGCAGGGAGTGATTCCTTGCCAACTCATACTGACAGAATGACAACACATGCTGACTAGACGCGCAAAAAGTGAGATCAGGATGTGGGAAATCGAACTTGTAGTTCGTTTACCCGATAGTGTGAAAATCGTTTCTGTATTTCGACAGGATTTCAAATAAAAAACCAACATGCGCTTATAAGAAATCATCTTTTTTTAGGGGGTGGGCTTATATTCGAGGACCGGATATAAGCGCCGTCATCCTTTCATAAGCGTCGGCGCTTATTCGAGGCCTGCGCTTCTATCCGGGGGCTTACGTGTCAAATGTTGTAGCCTGTAGTGAGGTTTGTCTTAGGGGGTACAAATTTTAGGGTTTGCTATATGTACCCCAACCCTCATCAATAACACAACACTTTCATTTCTGACATGGTATCACCTAGGTTAGGATCATGTGGGATCCCGCTCCTCCCGTCCTCGTTCGTTCCGCCCGAGCCTGTCTCGCTCTCTCGTACTAATCGTACCCGTCTTGCCCGAGCCTAGCGCCGGCCTGATCTAGTCTTGCTCTCTCGTACTAGTCGTACCCGTCTTGCCCGAGCCTAGCGCCGGCCCGATCCAGTCTCGCTCTCTCGTACTAGTCGTACCCGTCTTGCCCGAGCCTAGCGCCGGCCCGATCCAGTCTCGCTCTCTCGTACTAGTCGTACCCGTCTTGCCCGAGCCTAGCGCCGGCCCGATCCAGTCTCGCTCGTTCGTTAGCGCCCGCTCCGCCGACCCGCTTTCCGCGTAGCGTAGCGCCTTCCCCCCCCCTGCCCGTCACGTCGCGCTCTCCCCGGCTTCCAGTCCCATCACGCCCTCCCCCGCTGCTCGTCGCGACGTGCCCTCCCACCCTGACCGTCGCGTTGCGTCCTCCCCCCGCTGCCCTAAACGCCCGCTCGCGCGCCGCGCCTGTCGCCGCGGCGCCCCTTATTTCCGTCGCCGCGGCGCCCCGCATTTCGTCGCCGCGGCGCCCCGCGTTTCGTCGCCGCGGCGCCCCGCATTTCGTCGCCGCGCCTGCCCGTACCGCCCGCCGCCACGTCTGCTCGTTAGGCCCGACCGCGGGCCCGCTCGTCCCATCGCCGCGCCTGCTAGTTAGGCCTGCCGCGGGCCCTCCCTTACAGCCGCCGCGGGCCCTCCCTTACAGCCGCCGCGCCTGCCCGTACCGCCCGCCGCCGCGCTTGCTCGTTAGGCACGCCGCGGGTCCTCCCTTACAGCCGCCGTGGGCCCTCCCTTATAGCCGCCGCGCCTGCTAGTTCAGCCAGCCGCCGCGCCTCCTCGTTAGGTCCGCTGCGGGCCCGCTCGTTAGGCCCTTCCTTTGCACCGCTGCGCCTACCCGTTCAGTCCGCCGCGGGACCGCCCCTAGCCCCGTTGCGACCGCGTTTTGCGCCCGTCACGGACTTGCCCTAGCCGCCCACCGTCCCTACCAGTGCCACCCACCGCCGGACTTATCGCTTCTACTTACACTATGGCAACCCCTAGGGTTCTTCGCTTTGACGCTGACGGTAGACCGCTCAAGTTTCCGGTCTGGCTCCTACGCGCGCGTCGCCTTTTAGAGAGTCAGGTTCAGGCGGGCGAGTCCCTTTGGGCGCACGCTACTGGTGACCTTCCAGCGCCCGACGACCCTACGCCTTTAGGCACCGCTTCTGACGACGCAGCCAGGGACCGCTTCACCCACCAGCGTGCTGACCTGACGGCGTGGAAGTCGCGTGACGCTGCGGCCTACATCGCTCTTAGCAGCCTCCTCCCTGAGTCTGAGGAGGCCCATTTTACTCAGGTTTGCACTGCTAGTGAGTTCCTGACTACGATTAAGGCCCGCTACGCTACTCCCACCACTGTCTCTCTTGGCCGACTCTTCCTACCGTTCCTGTTCCCTGACCTCGCCTCGTTTGAGCGCTCTGCTGACTTGATTGCTCACCTCCGCTCGCTTGATTCTAGCTACCGCGCTGCTTGCACTGAGGCACAGCTTGCACTGCTTCCTCCCCCCATGGTGATTACTATCTATTTCATCGCCACTAGCCTCCCTGACCGCCTTGCCTCAGTCCGTGACACGCTTCTTCTGAAGCACCCTAGTGAGCTCTCTATCGAGGTCCTTGAGTCTGCGCTCAAGGACGTCAAGAGCAACCTCCGCTCCGTAGCCTCCGCCTATGGTGCTGTGCCCCCTCCACTGTTCCACGGGTGCACTGTCCCTTAGCTGCCCACCTTTACAGCCTCTCTAGCCACTGCTGCTACTGACGTCACCGCAGCTGCTGTTACGACTTCTTCGTGGTCTCGTGGTAGAGGTGGCAAGAGGGGCGGTCAGGGTACAGATGGCGGCGGCGGTGGAGGCGTTGGCGGCGGAGGTGGCAGGGGTGGCATGCCGACTGGTGGCGGAGGGAGCGCAGGGCCTGGAGAGGGGTCTCGTGCAGCGGCCAGTGACTCCCCTACTGCAGCTGGTGGAGGCGACACCCGGGCTCGTCAACCACCTTCTGGTCTGCCGGCCGCAGCGGGTGGAGCAGCGGCGTGGTACCTGGCCCAGCGGCAGCAGCAGCTGCAGCAGCAGCAGCCCCTCCCCTCGCAGCAGCCCTCGCAGCAGCAGCGGCAACAGCAGGTTTCGGGGCCAGGACTGCTCCAGCCCCAGCGAGGTGTTGTTCACCCTTCGTGCACCTATCAGCTTTTGATAGGTGCTCGCCGAGGCCAGCCTTGTGGCCGCGCCCATCCTCCTGGTCAGTGTTTTTCTCAGCTCACTGACACAGTTCGCTTGGCCTTTGGTGTTGGCGGCCCTGCCCCTGACTGGTTTCCTCTTGTTCAGACGTACGGCTCCGCTCTTTGGGGCATGTCAGCTTCTCGGTTGGTTGATCTCTTAGGAACTCCTCATGCTATGTATGTTGTTGTTGACTCTAGTGCTTCTGACTCTGTTTACTCGAGTGTTGTTAGCTTAGGTGCTAGTCTTGCTGAGTTGCCTGTTGCTAGTGTAGACACTAGTCCAGGAGCTACTTCGGAGGACGCTTCGCTGTCTTTCACTTTGGACTCTGGGGCTTCGCACTGCTTCTTCCGGGACCACACGACACTTACTCCGCTTCCGGAGCCGGCCTCTGACGCTCTGGCTGATCCCACCTCGGGACCAGTCACTGCTCGCTACACTACTACTCTTCCGTGCCCTGCTGTTTGTCAGACTCCCAACCACTAGACCATTGGGATAAAAGGGCTAGTTAAGTAGCGGGTCAGTGCGCCCATAACCCCCCAGGCCAACGTGCCTGTAACCCTTCCCTAGGATCAATCGGGGATCACCAGTGGACCTCTGACACCCCCCCGCACTGGGATGCCCGAAGTGCACACACCAGGATTCGAACCCGAGACCTTCGCTCTGGTACCGTGTCAGAATCCCAACCACTAGACCATTGGGATAAAAGGGCTTGTTAAGTAGCGGGTCAGTGCGCCCATAACCCCCCAGGCCAACGTGCCTGTAACCCTTCCCTAGGATCAATCGGGGATCACCAATGGACCTCTGACACTATTCCCTCTGGGTCTCTGACTGGCTTCCACGTCCCCTCGTTCTCGCGGAACTTGGTGGGCGTGAGGCCTCTTGTGAGTCAGCACGTGGGTGTGTGGATTGAGCCCTCTGGTGAGACGACGGTTTGTGTTGATGGAGACACTTACACGCTTCTTGCTACCTTTACAGCTGAGCCGGGCTCTGGTCTCTACACACTTCACACTGGCTCTAGTGGGCAGCAGCAGCAGCAGCCGCAGCAGCAGCGACTACTGCCCCCGGCCCCTGTTCCTTCCCCAAGTCTGGTCCCTGCGTCTCACCAGGTTGCTGCGTCCCCCCAGGTAGCTGTGTCTGGTCGGGTTCCCGTGTCTGGTCCAATTGTTGCGTCGTGCTCCTGCCGGTCACTTGCCCACCCCACCGTTCTGTGGCACCACCGGATGGGGCACCTGTCTCTCCCTCATCTGCGCACTATGTCTCGTCAGCGTCTTGTCTTAGGCCTCCCACGTGTCTTGCCGTCGCTGCCGC